TGTTGGATCCCACCTGCTGGACTGCAGAGGTGGCTCCTGCCCAGAGCTGTTCCAGCCTGGCTACAGCCCTGTGCCCTGCTGTCGCAAGGGAATTGGGGGGCAGGAGACAACGGCACCTGTTCCCCCTGCCTGCTTGGGAGCGCACACAGCAGCAGGGAGCTGGCCCCACCCTCCCCCCAGCCCTCGGACAAGCCGCCCAACAACTCTGTCCCACTCCCCACCAGGGGCCCTGCAGCCATGCACTGTGGCCCCAGGCCCCAAGCCCCACACTGCCTACCTGGGCAGCAGCCTCAGCCCTGCCCTACTTCCTCCCTATGGGGGCCTCAATTCCCCCTCCCAGACTTACTTATGGCAGCTGCTCTCCAGGATGCCTGGAAGCCATGTGTGTGCACCAATACATGGTACCCCCTGCCTGACCACCTTCCTCCTGGCTCCCTCCAGCCCCCTGCAAGCTGGAACTCTGTCAGGCTGCAGAGAGCTCTTTGCAAAAGAGAAAAATCTGAGCATTTCTCTTACAAAGAAAAGTCTGCATTTCTTGGGTGAAAAGGGAAAATCCACAGGATTTTCTTTTTTCATTTTTCCTGTGGGAAACGGAAAACCCAGAGCCTGATGATGAGCGAAGGGGGCAGGGGGAGCTCTGATTTTTCATGATAAAAAACCCGAAATCAAACACCAAAATATATAGGTACTTAAAATGTATCTTATTATAATGACTGAGGCACTGGTAGACTTCCAAATTGTTTTAACATTGTAAATGTATCAATAAAACATTGTGTTCAACTTATGGCAAGGGAGGTCTCCTCTCCATGTCTATTCAATATGACATTTAACAAAACAATCAAGAGTCAAAATCAGAAGGCCAGCATATCTTCTAATGGCTATTATAGCAAACACTGACAATGGGTCACATTATCTCTAGCTAAATTCCGCACTGTGGCCTAAATTTGATTCTTCAGCAACTACCCAATCAATACTGCTTCCAGACTCCTGTAAAAAACTTGGACTTTTATCAGCCAAATCAAGTTGGTACAAACTCACTGCACTACAATGACCATTACCAAGACAGCATTTTCCTCATTGTGCAGAACAGAGTAAAAATAAGATCCAAGCAAATGTATTATGAATGGCAGGTCAAACATGCCTGGCT